TGCGACGCCGACGGGCTGCGCAGCCTGTGCTACCACCCGGCGCTCAACGCCATCCTGGCCGTGACCGCCCGCGGCGCCATCAAAGTCATCGACGGCACTTCGGGGGCCACGCTGCAGGCCTCGGCGCTCAGCGGTGAGTGCGGCCCCGGGGGCTGCTCTCGGGGGCCTGGTGGCACCGGCTGGGGGCCCCCCTCGGGTGCAGCCCCCTTCGGAGGGGGTGGGCCGCGCTTTCGGGATGAGCCGCCTGAGGGTCGCCCTTAGCTTCCCCTCCTGCTGCTTTTGGTGAGGCTCCTCAATCCCTGCCTTCTGCCCCCAGGGCTCACGTGAGCAGTGGTGCTGTAGCCCTCAGGGAAGCAGCCCCTCGATCCGCAGATTTGGCAGGTTGTAGGGTCAGGCACAGTACTGAAAGCCCCAGGTGCTGCTGTTATGAAGCGCGGCATGTCCCTGGCTTCATTTGCGACTTTAGGAGTAAAGACCGGGCACGGAGGTTTCTGTACCATCCCGGCTGAGTCTTGCTCCTGAGTATTAAAGTACAGTTCTGAAGCTTATGATGTCGGGGACCAGGCCTGTGGGGATCCCATTGGGTTTAAAGGTTGTATTCAGCTGTTGCTTCGAACAGATTTAAATTTGGGGTTGCTGGTTCATGTTTTTGGTGAACACTTTTCTTTTCTTTTTTTCTTTTTTTTGGGGGGGTCCTTTTTGCTGCTCTGTCCCTTGACTCTCATGGGCGCAAGTAAAACTGAGTTAAAGGTTTGGTATTATTCACTGGCAGTTCTCCAGGAGTAGGGGGTAAAGAACTAGTGTTGTTATTGTTAAGCCACTTGGTTAGTATGTTGCTCTTCTGCAGTGGATGGAAAACCAATCTTTGGTTGGAGTTTGCCTGTGAGGAATAGACCTGATACCCCAACCACAGGGATTGTCTTCAGAACTGTGGTACTTAAAAAAAGACGAACAAAAAAACCAGATGTTCACAGAGTTTCACGCTTTGAGGAAGCAATCTTTAGTGACCAGTCTCTTACTGTACT